CTTAGAGACGATTACGTATATAAAGATATATGATGATGTCATTTAGAGGGGGAATACGTTTATATAGATATCTGGTGATGTCATATAGAGACTATTACGTATATATAGATATCTGATGATGTCATATAGCGAGGGAATACGTTTATATAGATATCTAGTGACGTCACTTAGAGACGATTACGTATATAAAGATATATGATGATGTCATTTAGAGGGGGAATACGTTTATATAGATATCTGGTGATGTCATAAAGAGGGGGAATACGTTTATATAGATATCTAGTGATGTCTGTTAGAGACTATTCCGTATATATAGATATCTGGTGATGTCATATAGCGAGGGTATACGTTTATAAAGATATCTGGTGATGTCATATAGCGAGGGAATACGTTTATATAGATATCTGGTGATGTCATATAGCGAGGGAATACGTTTATATAGATATCTGGTGATGTCATAAAGAGGGGGAATACGTTTATATAGATATCTAGTGATGTCTGTTAGAGACTATTCCGTATATATAGATATCTGGTGATGTCATATAGCGAGGGTATACGTTTATAAAGATATCTGGTGATGTCATATAGCGAGGGAATACGTTTATATAGATATCTGGTGATGTCATATAGCGAGGGAATACGTTTATATAGATATCTGGTGATGTCATAAAGAGGGGGAATACGTTTATATAGATATCTAGTGATGTCTGTTAGAGACTATTCCGTATATATAGATATCTGGTGATGTCATATAGCGAGGGTATACGTTTATAAAGATATCTGGTGATGTCATATAGCGAGGGAATACGTTTATATAGATATCTGGTGATGTCATATAGCGAGGGAATACGTTTATATAGATATCTGGTGATGTCATTAAGAGGGGGGAATACGTTTATAAAGATATCTGGTGATGTCATTTAGAGACTATTACGTATATATAGATATCTGGTGATGTCATTAAGAGGGGAAATACGTTTATATAGATATCTGGTGATGTCATTTAGAGACTATTAGGTATATATAGATATCTGTTGATGTCATATAGAGAGGGAATACGTTTATATAGATATATATCTGGTGATGTCATTTAGAGAAGGGATACGTTTATATCTATCTATCTGGAGTTGTAATTCAGAGGGGGAATATGTACAACTGTAGATATGTGTTAGGTTCCCCTCCATGGCATGTATAAGTTTCCCTCCGTGACCTCTATATCTTCCCTTCATGACACTTATAGGTTTCCCTCCATAACATCTATATGTTCCCCTTCATGTCATCTATATGTTGGCCTCCATGACATATATATGTTCCCCTCCATGACATATATCTGTTCCCCTCCATGAAATCTATACGCTTCCCTTCTCTGGCATATATATGTTCCCTTCATGACATTTATAGGTTTCCCTCCGTGACATTTATATGTTCCCTTCACGACATTTATAGGTTTCCCTCCGTGACATCTATATGTTCCCTTCACGACATTTATAGGTTTCCCTCCATGACATCTATATGTTCCCTTCACGACATTTATATGTACCCCTTCCATGACATATATAAGTTCCCCTCCATGACATCTATTTCCCTCCATGACATTTATACGTTTCCCTCCATGACATTTATACGTTTCCCTCCATGGCATCTATATGTTACATGTACCCTCCTTGACATCTTAACGTTTACCTCCATGAAGATTATTCGTTTTCTTCCATGACATCTATACGTTCCCCTCCATGACATCTCTATGTTCCCTACCGTTACATGTTTTAGTTCCCCTCCATGACATTTATACGTTTACCTTCCATGACATCTATTTATTTCCTTCCATGACATCTATATGTTCCCCTCTGTGACATTTATATGTTCCCCTCTGTGACATGTATATGTTCCCCTCTGTGACATGTATATGTTTCACTCCATGACATCTATATGTTTTCCTTCATTACATCTATATGTTCCCCTCCATGACATCTGTAAGTTTCCCTCGATGACATCTGTAAGTTTCCCTCCATGACATCTGTAAGTTTCCCTCCATGACATCTAAAAGTACCCTAAAAGGACATTTATAATTTGCCTTCCCTGATCTATATAGTTTTTCCTCCAAAACATCATACATATAAGATCATAAGAAAACGGGAGAGAGAAAAGACAGATTCCAAGTGTTTAAAGGGGAAAAGAAGGGATCAATATTGGTCTCTTCAACTTCAAATTAACAGAAGTTCCGATTGTGCAGGAGGCCAAAAATAGTTGCATCTTTTGACATGTAGTGGAATCCTACATGGAGTTGCGAGTACGTGCTCTGCTATAAAGTGTATGTTCTCTACATGTATTATTTTTGAATCCCGATATAATAGATAAATATAATCTAATAGCGGGTTTTGAATGTTCTATAGTTATGTGTAGTATTTGTGAATGTACATGTATATATTAGTAAACGTTTTACCTACATCGCGGCGTGAGTATCAGTTGTTGATAACCACATATATAAACAAACACAAATAATTGTGAAATTATCTAAAATCTTTCGACGACCGGATCTATGATTAGTGTTATTCTGGAAAAGCATGTTCGATCATGAATTCAAACGCAACGGGAATATTTTATCATATTCATTCCCTGCTTCAATGATCATAACGATTTTTTTCATAGAATATCAAATTCGGAAGTGTAATGGTGTTTATATGCTAAATGATATATCAACTTTTTATGTTGTTGACAACCCTACACAAAACAGTCATATATTCATATATTCCGCGAAAGATTAGTTTGGAGATGTAATTGGCCGATTCTATATAATCATGACACTTTTGCTAAGCACAGACAAGAAAAATCAATGAAGTCGTCATATATAGGTAATCAGTCAGAATCTAGTTAATTATCCCGGGACATAAATAGATAAATGGCAGATTTATAGGTGTACATGTCGATGCACATTTGATATTTAAGCGAAGTGCCGAAAAAAAGCTATAACAGATAAGATTTAATTAAATTACATAAAAACACAACCAAAATGAAGTGCGTTCATAGGGCCATGAATCGCAATTCGATCAGTGTCCTATACACATTTCTCCCGCGCCTCGAATAACACGAGACAATGATAATGGTAAACAAACATTTAGGTGACGTTGAGCTATTTCAGGGATATCATTTGCAACGACGATAAATTGTATAGACACATAAGATGTCATGGCATTATTATATTTCGATAACGTATAACTGTAAAAGTGTGGTATTAAAATACTTATCTTAACATACATGTCGGTATAAACCCAAATCGGTTACACCTATGTTTAATATAAAGCCTTAAGGGACTTCATTTTATAAGGTATAACCGATTTGCACTCATACCTGTTCCAATATTAAACTGTTTATTCAATTTGTAACACACAAATTTGTTCACTAGTTTTGCGGATTTCGTGTGGTGACATGATTCATACAACAGCCATGACGTCATGGCATTGTCATGTCGCATTTATAAGACAAAAGACACAAGTTTAATGAGTAAATATGTAATAATCGGCATTAAACTGATCACGATGGTACGAGAACAGAAAGTACATGTACAAATCTCAATTGTTTAAACTTTATAAAATGGGATACAGTCTACTTTAGTTCTGTTACTCGTTCTCAGATAGTTTGCCATATGTAAAACATTTTTCCTTTTTAAATGATAAAATGAATAAATATGAAAAAAAAAAATCTGTTCCAATTTGTTAAATAGTATAGCCGTGTTACATGTATGCAAATTCCTCGTGATAAATGTTTAAAAAAAGTCTTTATACAAACTTTCAAACTGCGGATTATGTTCCTTTAATCAAACTTGAACCCTGTCATTGTCACTATTTTATTAGCCCGATTGTTTACATTGTTGTCCCCTAAACAACGACAATCCAGTTAATTTATTGTGGTACGTATATAGGCCACTCCTGGTCATGGTTTGTGTGTGGTGTCGACTAAACACACTCTAGATCTATAAACGTCCCGTAAACCTGCCCAATTCTGTACATTATCAACCTTCACAACATACCATTATATAAATTAAATGAAAAATTATCAAATCAGTATATAGTAAATATAGATCTATAAAACAATAAAATTGTGTATTGCCGAATCCGGTCGGGCTTCCATTGTTTAAAATGAATAACGGATGCGTATTAAATGTATTGCGCAATCGTCTTTCAACTGATCGCCATGTTTATTTTGTGATATGTTGCACCACAAAATGTAACTAAATAAAATAAAATAATGCAACTTTAGATTTCCACTAAAATGGTTCGCTCATGAGCCCGAATAATACAATTTACTGTACTATATGTAAACATTATCTTTAGAAAAGATTTAACTATCCAATACGGAAGTGTGTCCTTACAAATAAAAACGTACACAAACTGTTAAAAACGGTTGATAGTTAAATGAATTAAAAAAATAAACACGAAATTCATTTTATAAGCGATACAATAGGTAAATACTTACATTACATAATAACTACCGGCATATAATTCACTGCATGTCGTAATTTTAGAACGTGATAGCCCTTCACGTATTGTTACAACAGTTCAATCGGAAATAATTAACTCAATTGGTCTAAACGGTTAGTGAGTGTTCCATGAAAGCACCTCCTTTCTGGACTGCTGTTTGTGATAATTTGGTAAATGCACTGGTATTGGTATTGGCAATGGTATACATTAAACCATTAATGTTTATGTAATTACGCGTCAATTGTATAAAAAAAAAACTAATTTTATTTACACAGAATAAGCAGTTTATGTCCTATAGTCGCTGTGCAGGTTGTATACAATCTGACGGATTTAATCATGGTACAATCATCCTGAACATTTTAAGTAGTTTCTTTAAGTACCAACAGGGGTGTTTAAATGCCCATACTTAGAAATGTTAGCTTTAAGCGATCTTATCTTTATTTGTATTTTTATTGGGACTTATTAATGTGATTTTTAAATTGCGAGTTTCAAAGTAAAGTGGAAGGTAACATCAGATACAACTCTACAAGTTTTGACAAGTAAAAGTACCTACATAACGTTTAGGCCGCTGATCGATGACACAAAGACAGGACACAGAGGTAACAGTGTGTATTGGGGTCTACGTGGACACACCTGTCTCCTGGGTTATTTTTCTATTGTTCGTGATTACATGTGGATGATGTATGCAGCTTCCGGTGCCACTGTTCCTCCGTCATTATACGGTGCCACTGTTCCTCCATCATTATACGGTGCCACTGTTCCTCCATCATTATACGGTGCCAAGCGAGCGAAAACCGTTGGTAATGTTACAATTTTATGTTGTCATTGTCTGGTTCCCGTGTTATTATTTATTTATTAATTCATTTATCTATGTATCTATTATCAAATCTATGGAGTTTTCATAATATCCTTAAAAAGGACCCGAGTAAAACAAGTGAAATATAAAAAAATCTATTTGTATCAAGAAGTTTATGTTTTTTACTAAAAAGCTGAAGTTGAAATTGAGGGTTTTAGATATTCATTAATTGAGACAATTGTGAAGCAAGCTTTGTTTTCAATTTTTTTCGAACATTTCAAATATCAAAAACATTTAAAATATATTAGGAATTTTAATATCCTATAATTCTTTTTAAAAAGCGGTTTTGTTTTAAACATATTTTATTGCCTTTTTTTACATAGATGGAATTGGGCACAAGTTTTACAACTTATATCAAGCCCTTTCCCTGAACAATAATATTTTTTTAACAAAATTTCATGATGATTCCTTAAAAAGCGGTAAACAGGTAAACTGGTACATGTATTAAAATGAGTATATTTGTATACAAACAATTTTATGTATATACCCATGTAGTATTACAAAGTTGTTTTTTTATTGTTACATGATAATGTGCATAAAATAAGGCCGATGCTGTTATTTGTATAGTGATTTTTTTTCTTCTTTGGCCTGACACATTGTGCTGGAGATCATAAAGCTTCTATTTTTTTCTGTTCTTTCTAACATTCATTTCCTCTATACATATTCCCGTAACTGTGAGCATCTGACACGTACATGCATGTAGCTGCATATTGTACATGTACATGAATTAACATTACGTTTGTCAGTTACACTCAACGGAAGTATTTAGCAGAGGGAACCACCCCTTTTCTTCTCTTTACAAATAATAAAAACGATCCACGTACCTGTGAAGTACAGTCTTAGTAAAAACCCTTACATAGTGATATCAAGGAAGACAGTTTTGAATACATATAATATTTCAAATTATTGTGAAATTATAGTTTAAAAAAACGACAGATGCGTGATTCGGCCAAAAAAGGAGTTACGGGCAGTTTTATAATGGGGATAAAGAAAATCGATAGATTCGTAACTCGAACTCCGGGACGTGGTAACATACAAGTACGATACGTATTATTCATTTTGGCTAAGTGTACTCCCGTAAAACTCTCTCCAAATCATGTAACTCGCTGATATTTTTTTTATCTTTGTTTCTCATGTTTTCACTTATGTTTCAAATATCCGAAACGTGTCAGGAGGGTAGGTAATCGGTTACAACTAGAGTACACTAAGTCTGTTACGTATTATTACAAACCTAACGTTGACCAAAACCTATAAACTTATAGAGTATTACAAACTTAAGCTAGATAACCCGCGCCCAACGACTATGTTACACGTACATTACAAACCTAGACTAGATCTAGGCATATAGCTTAGTGTAAACCCAGGCCTATAACTAAGTATAAAAACGTAGACTAGATCAAGGCCTATAACGTGGTATTATAAGCATCGGCCAAACCTAGACCAATAACGTGGTATTATAAGCATAGACTAGATGTTGGCCTCTTACTTAGTATTAAAAACCAATATTAGATCAAGGCCTATAACTAAGTGATACAAGTCTAGATAGATCAAGGCCTATAATTAGTAATACAAAGCAAAGATAGATCTAGGCCTATAACTTAATAATACAAGCAAAAACAGATCTAGGCCTATAACTCAGTAATGCAAGTAAAAATAGATTTAGACCTATAACTTAATAATACAAGCAAACACAGATCTAGGCCTATAACTCAGTAGTACAAGCATAGACTAGACCTAGGCTAAAATGTGGTATTACAACCCTAGATTAGACATAGACCTATAACGTTTATTTGATACCTAGTATAGATCTTAAGCTTTATTGCTTATTACAATACAAGTCTATAATCATACGTACATGTACGCACATCCTATGAAGATTTCAAATTTATGATATTAAGAAAGATATATCTAACTAATTTTCTCATTTTTACCTAGAACTAAGCTAGTTGTTTCAGTAAGATTAACGAAAGTGGTATTTTAATCGCATTTGAAAATATTTCTATATGGACAGTTACACATTATCGCGTACAAACGTGTTTTCTGTACATTATCAGTGTGACCTCGTGCACTTATTCTTACTAAAGCTGTAGTTTTAATAGCTGGAAATTAGATACCCGATAATCAAATTATTGTTATTGTCCGTGCTGAAATACTTTTGGGCTGTCATTATCCTCGTGGTGATTGAGTGAGGTGACAGCTAATTTTATGTAGCTAAACACCGATTATCCAATACATTATTTCTCCATACATTATACCGCGCCATGTGTTGTATGTCATATCAGCGATCCGGTTTTCTTTCTAACATTATCCTCTGCATATCAACATGTGACCTTATTTTATTGTGTTCTTTCATATATATAGAATGACTGGCTACCTCAAGGATGAATCATTGATTCACTATTTTTTGTAAATCCTGTACATACAGAAATTTATAAAATTGGAAAGATCAAAATTGATGAAATTTTTGACCGGAGTGTTATGCATTATAAGTGGAGTGGAGTTTTGTTCGCTAAACAACATAAATACGTAATAAACATCAGTAATTAGAATAAAAATATTATCATTACAGTCTATTTTTCATTTAAATAGAAGTGGACCAAAGACTTATCCTTGGGATCAGCGTTTGGAACCGACCTTGGTTTTCTATCTAGATGTTATTTTCTTGGTTAATTAAGAGCGTTCCTATGGATGGCAACTTAAAAGTCTGAGATCAAAAAATTTGTAGCAGAGGCCATCGGAATTCTTTATGTTGTCTTCATATAAAACTTTAAGTCAGCTGACAAACCCTGATTGCCAAAACTGTGAACTGTTCGGCAGCAGGTTGACTGCCTATTCACCAGGAGTGCAATCTGATATATGAAGTATATATACACAAATCTCTCAGGAAGCAACCCGATATTTGAATATGTATTTCCTATCTTTACCAATTAATGATGAGTTGCATTGGTATACATGTAATTATGTACTAAATTGTCAAACATTGTATGAATAACAATGTTCCATCGGTGTGTTTCTTCTAATGTTCAATAAATGGGATGCATATTAAATTAATGATAAACACTATACGCTAAACGGTTACAACTGCTACGCTGCTACGTTGATAGAATTAGAGACGTATAAAGCCAGATATTGTGTATACGTCTCTTTGTCTGTCTCTCTGGCTCTCTCTCTTTCTCAGGTATTTAGGTTATGAAATATCAGTAAGGTAGCACTTACAAGTATGTGTACTTCAAAATGGTCACTGAGTGGTCCCATTGTCTGATGACACTGTCTTGATATATGACCTGAGCTAAATAACGCAACTGGAACCTTTATGGAAAATCCACTTTTGAACTATTTCGCAGAAAGCCAAATTAAACAGGAAAGTTTTCGCTTTTTAATGTCCATTGGCGAGAAAATGCCAAAACAAGTAAATCAAATAGAATTTTGGGTCTTATCGAAATAAATAAGAATTGATTTTTTTTTCTAATATGGCCATATCAAGAACATAATTATTACCTCGTTGAATGGTGAGCCATTCGTGAGCCAATGTATATGCTAGTTAGTAGACTGTAGTGTAGCACATTATACAGGATAGAGTGGCGTGCTGCCTCGTACCCGAATCACTAACCCGTTCAATTAGACATATACCGTGTACGCGTCTAATTAAAAATGCAAGGTACCAGGTTTTTTTTAATAACTTTATGCAATTTTGGAAATGTATACATTTATAAATGTCTTTATATCGTTACACCAAATATATTAGTAGCTATAACACTCGAAATATTGGCAATTCGACATATTTACTAAAAATTAAAGTGAACTTGATGGGAGCCTTCCTCTGGGTAATGCATTTAACACTGAAGAACATACCTTGAATTTCTACATAGAAACTATTTTCCAGTGAAAATAAATTGACCCTTGTAAACGCTATCGTTCGACAGTGCAACATTTTGACAGTTAACACACCAAACCGAAACGACTCACGAGCCTTACATACAATACAACGAACTAGAATACAAAATTTCTGAAATATTTCATATTTTCCTAATGCTTTACAAAACCATTTTATTCGCTGACTACATCTACGTACTACTGTTTAAAATGACTTCTCCCTACCCCTCTCCCCACTACCAATACTCCACGATGTGCGATTTAAATGGACAAAATGTTGTACATGTAAAAGATAACCCATTTAGTTTGTGAATACAACAAAACATATCCATGTGTATCCGACCTCCGGGGAATAATAAATATGTATGTGACACACTGGGGCATTGTTTAATCGTGTACTTATTGATTCATTAAAAATTAACCAGCCGTAGTGAGGTCGTGACACACAAGTCTATTTTAAATGGCAATTATCAGACGGGTGTGGTGTATAATACATTACACAGAGGGTTGCCAATTTAAAGGGATTTAAATGAAGTTAAACAAAGTTATGCAAGACTGGCCTCCCCTCAAGTTTTCGTGATAATTTTAGATCCGCCATTAATCACACTAATTACATCACCAATTTATAAACAATTCATCAGGGGTTTTAAAGTTGTACCTTTCACGGACGGATTAAGGATTGTCGGAAAGAAGTGGGTCGACTTTTGAATTTATTTCGACAACTCAGTCTAGGAATGAAGAAACAATGTGGGAAACTGAGGTTCGGCCGAGGGACGAGGGGGTTACAGGTATATATGGCCCCGCCTGCAACTATATAAACTTGTGACAGTATCCGCTACAAATCTTGTATTTTGAGCATATTTCAGCTAATTGAGCCGGAATTCTTTAGAGATGATCAGAAATTTTACTCCGCAAGCAGTATTGTTTTGTTGAAAAAAAATAACGACAAAGTCAAGTGGGGAGGGTGCTGGAGGGGCCAGCCTGCCACCTTTATCTGCAAGGCAGTTGTGGTGGTCTCCCCAGAAATTTTTGAAAAAGATACATGTGCATGCATACTAGTTTAATTATTTTAGTAAAGATGATACGGACACGATCAATGTTACTGAACTTGACGTATTTTCATCATTTCTTTTGTTATCTTTTTAGAAACACACTTGCCTAAGCTCCCTGCCAATTTGTTTGCCTAACAGGAAATTGAAGTTAATTTCAAATATTTGCTTGAATGAAATCGAATGAATTTCAAACATTTCCCGCGCAATCATGTTTAGTCATGGTCTCTAAGCACCTTTGTGAAAAAGATTAAAGCGTACAGCAAACTACAGAGATCATCTCAGCAACAGCACCCGAAGCGGACTGAACATTTTTGATCTTGCACGACAGGGTACATTTACAAACTTTTCTCGAAATGTGTTACATGGATATCTTGAATTTGATTTATAATTGACGCACACTTTCTAATTCTTTAATTTCTGAAATATGAAACTTCGGTTCAGAGTGCCACTAGCATTCCATGCAGACGACCTAAGGCCAAACAAAACATATTTGGCGTTTCTAGTTATCCTACTTATCCTAATTTTTGTTTTGTTTCGTTTAAATTATCTTTAAAAATAAAACGTGTTACCTACCTTCATGTACCTACCCTAAATTTTTCCAACATGTTACAGGAAACACATATTTTTTGTCAGATCTAGGTATTTCAGATCATCTGTAACACATACAGGGACCTGTGAATTTGTTACAGCTATATTTGTACCTAAACTAAGGTGTTCAGAGTATTTTTACATGTTTTACGGGTTTAGATCGACTTTTGGTAAAAATGACACCCTAATTATGATCATATACAGGGACGTAACCAGGACTATGAGTATGTGGAAGCATACCAAGCGCGAGTAAGGGGTGGGTTCGGGAGGGGGTCACCCCCTTCTGAGTTTGAGGGGTTGTCCGGGGGGGTACCCCCCCCCCCCCCGAGATTTTTTTTGAATCTTGAACCCATTCTGGTGCAGTTTGAGACATAAAATACTTATCATTTTCATATTTGGCTTGTAGTATATTTTATCAAATGCATTATAATTAGTTCCATATGAACAAGGAACATTTTCGTTAAATAGTCAATAAAAGAAACAATATCAATGAGATAATGAATTCACTGAGGGTCCAGGATTATATGAGTTGTTAAAGTTTATCACATACAGTTCTACGATGTGATCCTTGTTAAAAGTATACTTGAAAAAAATAGGTGGAAGCCTGTGCGTCCGTGCGTACGCCTGGTTACGTCCCTGATATATATGCCAAAAAGTCGACCCCCACCTAAATTATTTCTTGCATCAAAAACAACATTTCTAGTTGAACTACAGAAAAATGCTTAGTACCGTTGGAAAGATGGATCATTTTTTATTTATAAACCTTCTATGTGCATGTAAAATGTATTCTCCTTCCACAGACTGATCTCCGTTTCCTTCAAAAACAAGCACCATTTCAGAGTTTCAAAGTTTTTCGCAGTCATCGTGCCACTTTTTTGTATATTAATGAGGTTGACCTCATGCCGAGACCAGTGCATGGTGTGATTGGCTGGAATGGCAGCCATTTTTTTGCTTAACCAACCAACACTGCATGTTTTGGGACGAGGCTGACGTCAACTTCATTAGTATACAAAAAGTGGCATGATGATTGTGAACAATTTTGAAACTGAAATGGCATGTGTTTTTTGAGGAAACGGATATCATGTCCGCTGAAGGAGATTGCATTGCCTCACCTGTTAAACGAATTGATTTAGCCACTGCTTTCTGACCCTGGCCAATGATTAATATATGTTGGCCATTTCAATTTAGAAGGGTCAATTAGTTCTTTGGCCCAGGCAACAGGTGTTGAACACACTAATATCATGTATATTGGTGTGTCCAGCACCTGTGGTCTAGACAATTAATGACTTTTCTTTGTAAATGAACATCCAAATACATAATCGGCTATTAAAATACTTCAGAAAAGAAAAAGTATAGCATATATGTTAATGTTAAAAAAGTTGATAATGGGCTGGTTTGGCCTGTTGGCATCAAATTCAACTGGCCAAATGAGTCATTTTATCATTTACCCTTAAATTAACACCTGCAACAGGGATTTTGATTCATGCTGGAATTGCTTCAATTTTACTTTGTGTCCACTGGATATTATTTGAAGACAGACATTGAAAAGTTATTATAATATCTATTTTTGACTTATGTAAGGCAATTTAGTTTATTGTGCAAAAAATAAAATAGAATCAAGCCTAAACACCAATTGAATTATAAAAATATCACTAAAAAATACCCCAAATCCCACCAGAGACCTGCATAATGTAGGTTTTAATTTTCACCTAAGGGATGGGGCATGTCCTCAGAGTGTCCAAGAGCCCTTCCCCTACCTCGGCTTCGAGTTTTGGTTGAACGAAAGTAGCCTGTTTCGGCTGTTCAGGCAAGCTGGTGATCTGAAACTAGCACATCAAGAGGATAGGATAATTCTGAATATATAGCATATTGCAAGAATGATATACAATGAAATATTCAAATATATGAATTCACATCAAAGGAAATTCCTTGAACTGTGATTATTTATTATTTAACTGCACATGTATATATATATATATTCACTGGCTTGCAAGTTGGTTGATCTTATTGATTTTTCTGTTTGTTGCAGGTACCCAGGCATAGATACCCAAGGTTGTTGTAACAAACTTTACCAGTGACAGAATACTGATACAGATATGGATGGAGAAATAGACTCAGCGTCCTGACGATTGTCTGTTGATCTACCTTTGACGGAGCTAATAATCTTCGGAGAATATTCATAGAGAAACGTTCTTTCAAAAGGATTTTTTTTTTTTAGTATTTATCTCTTGCAAAAAAGAACAATGGAGTTAATAGGTAAAACAGTTATATTTGTATTATCACTGTGTGTGATAATTGTGACAGGTCGCCATACTGCTGATCCTGCGATATCTCAGGCAACAGTGACAGACGCTACTGGTAATTCAGCAGATGAAAACAGCACCATCACGTGGGCAACCCTGACCACTACTGTCAACTATAAGGCAGATGACCTGTCCTACTCTGATGGTGGAATGTCCACTCTGAACAGCATGGCCAAGGGATTTGTCAATGTGTGCTTCCCAGCAGGTTTTCCATGGGGTAAAACATGTTTGATACTTTAGAAATTGATATGAGTAATAAATATATAGGTTAAATAAGCAATACTCATTAAATATGCTCATCTATATATATATATTAGACATTGATACTGCCATAATGTGTCTATCAATATATTGTGCCCTAGTATATATATGTTATATGCTAGACAGCTAAATCCATGATGTCTTCATAGAAATGAACTCTCACTTGACAGTGTTACTGTTATTGCTAATGGTGTCTTACTTTACTAAGTAATGATCTTTCATCGATCTAAATCATTACTGCAATTTAATTTGGTAAGTGTTAATTCCGTGAGGTCTAAATGATACTAAATCAGGAATGCTCCACCTGACATTGTTAATTCTGTAATATAAGGTCTTAATCAGCAAAGCTCTCTGACAGAGTTAATTCTGTGAGGTCTCAATCAGCAAAGCTATCTGACAGAGTTAATTCTGTGAGGTCTCAATCAGCAAAGCCCTCTGACAGTTTTAATTCTGTGAGGTCTCAATCAGCAAAGCCCTCTGACAGAGTTAATTCTGTGAGGTCTCAATCAGCAATGTTCTCTTACAGTGTTAATTCTGTGAGGTCTCAATCAGCAAAGATCTCTTACAGTGTTAATTCTGTGAGGTCTCAATCAGCAAAGCCCTCTGACAGAGTTAATTCTGTGAGGTCTCAATGAGCGAAGGTCTCTGACAGTGTTAATTCTGTGAGGTCTCAATCAGCAAAGATCTCTGACAGAGTTAATTCTGTGAGGTCTCAATCAGCAAAGCTCGCTGACTGTTAATTCTGTGAGGTCTCAATCAGCAAAGCTCTCTGACAGAGTTAATTCTGTGAGGTCTCCATCAGCAAAGCTCTCTGACAGAGTTAATTCTGTGATGTCTCACTCAGGAATGCTCCTCTTGACAGTGTTAATTTTGTGAGGTCTCAATCAGGAATGCTTCTCCTGATAGTGTAGATTTTGTGAGCTAGGTCTAAATCTGTAGTATTCTGTTATCTGACAATGATAATTCCTTAAAAATTGTTTAAAAAAATGCATTTTCATTTGACACTTAATGAAGCAAGACCTATCTCAATCAATAATACACTCACTTGATAGTGTTAATGCTAATTGGTGCCTGAACCGGTGATGCTAGGCCTTGCTTGACGGAGCTAATGCCTACGTGTCTATCAGTAACTGATATATGTATGTATACTGTCTCATCTGACAGTGTTAACTGTCACACCTCTGTGTTTGATAATACAGCCTAATTTGACACTGAAAGAGTGAGGTCTCAATGCAATCCATGAGGCTCTCTCAGCGAATAGTGTTAATGCATAAGTATCTCAACTGGTACTGCTCGCTGCCACTTAACAATGGTGATACCATGGTGTCTCCCTCTCCATCAATAAAGCACTCTCACTCTACAGTGTTCATGCTGTGGCAGTGGTTGAACTTTAAGGCATAGACTCATTGACAATCGCCCTGGAGAACACTGTAGGTCTGACTGCGGGAATCATGCATTTACTTCATAAACAAAGTTGTTTTTTGAAATATTTTCTATCATGTGTATGATTCAGTTTTAAGTAAAAAGGTAGTTTTATAGCAAAAAAGTCCTCTGATACATTTCTTTTCATACTTTATCATACAACGATTTTCTTAAATTTCATTCTATTGAACACTAAATGTGTATACCCCAAGCTTAGATATTTTTCTCAGTCAAGGTCTGACTGAAAAAAAAATCAGTAGGTCTATTAAAAAATTACAGTATAATTATATATATCTTGTAGACCTGTTGTCTTTGGTGTAAAATTATAAATAGAAGTGCTTTGTTGCTGCAATCATTGGTATCAGTAAGGTACAGTAATTTGATGGTGATACCTTCCCAACGGTCAGTCAGTAGAGTTCACTTATGAGACTGTGATGGTTTCAGTGGATGTTTTTTCTTCCCTAATAATGCGCCTGGCAAACCTTTGTTTACCATTGTAATGTATGCTTTTATTTACAGATGTTGTTGACAAATTAATGGATGGTACACTCATGGATGATGTATCAAGCAACTGGCAATCAGTGAGTGTTCTAAATCAGTTAACTGGTTATCTAATACATGTATTATCTTTATGTTGTTAATTAATCAGAAAATACTATTCATTATTAAAAGTGTAATTTATTTGAAATATCAGTTTTATTTTATATTAAAAAACAAAAATTCTGCATTGTTTATGCAATAAAAGTCTAAAAATTGTTTCATTACTAAAACAATTATCTAAGAAAATTGAAACACTAGAATTTGAACAGTTTTTTAGCTCACCTGGCACGAAGTGCCAAGTGAGCTTATGCCATGGTGCGGCGTCCGTCGTCCATCCGTCCGTCCGTCCGTCCGTCCGTCGTCCGGCGTCAATATTTTACTTTAAACGACTTCTTCTTAATAACCGAAAGGCCTAGGGTGATGATATTTGGCCAGAAGCAAACTGGGATGAAGGGCTACCAAGTTTGTTCAAATAAATGACCTTCATCTATTTTCAAGGTCACAGGGGTCAAATATGTTAAAAACTTTAAACAACTTCTTCTCAATAACCAAACTGCCCAGGGAGATGATATTTGGTCAGTAGCATGCTAGGGTGAAGGGCTAC